TCCTCCTCCTCCTCTTCCTCCCACTCCCCATCCCTTTCCTTCTCCTCCTCCTCCTCCTCATCATCATCATCCTCCTTCCTCCTCCTCCTCCTGCTCCTCCTCCTCCTCCTCCTCCTCTTCCTCCTCCTGCGCCTCCTCCTCCTCCTCCTCCTCCTCCTCTTCCTCCTCCTGCGCCTCCTCCTCCTCCTCCTCCTCCTCCTCCTCCTCCTCCTCCTCCTCCTCCTCCTCCTCCTCCCCCTATGGAGACCTTCGGAGACCTCTGGAGACATCCGCAGAGCTCCAGGCCAGAAACCTCCAGGCTGCAGAGACCTCCAGGGACCTTCAGGGAGAGGGGGCAAGGAGGGAGGGCAGGAGGGGAGGCGGGGATCGATCATCAAGGATCGATTATCTGGTTCGTCGACTACCCTTTGGATCGAATCGGAATGTGCGTCAAGTCTGGCTGCACCAGCACGCTTTCGGATGCACAGCAGCCCCATGCGCGCATCAGGCCGCATCCATTCGTCGAAACATCGGAACCGAATCAGATCTAGCCCGCCAGAAGCGGTACCCAATCGGATCGATCGCATCGAAGGGGAGCCAAAGGCGACGAGGAGAAGCAGAGGGCAGAGCCCGAGGGACGGGCGCGCTCCCCCAGAACGCCGACCACAGCATCCCAAACCTGGTGGGCATCGGCTGAACTTTCTGCCCCCTCCTCCTCGGGAAGACGAGAAGAAGAAGGAGGAGGAGGAAGGTGAGGAGAATGAGGAGGAGGGTGAGAACGAGGATGAGGATGAGTAGGAGGAGAAGGAGAAGGAGAAGGAGGAGGAGCAGGAGGATCAGGAGGAGGAGGGGAGAAGGAGAAGGACGAGGAGGGGAGGGGAGGGGAGGAGGAGGAAGAGGAAGAGGAGGGGGAGGAAGAGGAGGGAGGCTTCCCCCTTTGAGGGGGCGGCCAGCCGACCGCAGGTTCTGCGGGGTTCACGCCCTCGGTCGGGCACGCCTCCCCGAGCGCGAAAAAGTACGGCGGGCCCCGCGCGCGGGGGCGCAGGTCGGCGAAGACATGGGCACTGGCCATCATCCTCATCATCATCATCATCATCATCATCATCATCATCATCATCATCATCATCATCATCAGCATCATCATCATCATCATCATCATCATCATCATCATCATCATCATCATCATCATCATCATCATCATCATCAGTATTATCATCATCATCATCATCACCATCATCATCATCATCATCATCATCATCATCATCAGCAGCATCATCATCAGCATCATCAGCATAATCAGCATCATCATCAGCAGCAGCATCCATCATCATCATCAGCAGCAGCATCATCATCAGCATAATCAGCATCATCATCATCATCAGCAGCAGCATCATCATAATCATCGTCATCATCATCATCAGCAGCATCAGCATCATCATCAGCCAAATCGGCATCATCCTCGTCATCATCATCATCATCATCATCAGCAGCATCATCATTTGCATCATCAACATCACCGATTCCACCAGCATCATCGTGATCGGCATCACCACCACCAGCAATACCGTCACCATCACCGTCACCGTCACCATCACAACCAACCTATGCTTAACATGACCATCAAGATTATCATCGTCACCATCATCAGCATCCTCATCATCATCGTCATCAACATCATCATCACCACCAACATCATCATCGGCATCATCGGCATCGTCATCAGCATCATCATGATCTTGATCAGCATCATCAAAATCAGCATCCGCGTCATCCTTGTCATCACCGTTATTGCCGTGTCGTCTTCGTCACAATCACCAGCAGCAAGCGCAGCATTACCACCACCACCACCATCATCATCATTAACGTCGTCGTCGTCATCATCGTCGTCAGCATCATCATCATCATCATCATCATCATCATCATCATCATCATCATCATGATCATCATCATCATCATCATCAGCATCATGACCAGCATCATCATCATCATCAGCATCATCATCATCATCAACAACAACAACCACAACAACAACAACATCATCATCATCATCATCATCATCATCATCATCACAGTCCTCGTCATCATCATCATCATCATCGTCATCATCATCATCATCATCATCATCATCATCATCATCATCGTCATCATCATCATCATCATCATCGCCATCCTCATCCTCATCATCAGCAGCAGCATCACAACCATCATGATCACAACCGTAACCACAATCAATAGTATCAGTAGCAACCGCATCATCATCACTCCCACCATCACCGACATGATCACCATCACCATGAACAGCCTCATCATCACCACCATCATCACCCCCTATCACCATCATCATCACCATGATCCTGGCAATCATTATCTCCACCGTCATCATCACCGTCATCGTCACCTCGTCGTCTCCGTGGCCATCATCATCAGCAACAGCAGCATCGTCATCATCGTCATCATCATCATCCCAATCATTATCACCATCATCATCAACATCATCATCGTTATCACCATCTGCATTACCATTACCATAATCACCATCAGCATCATCACCATCATCATCATCCACATCATGATTACCATCAACATCGCCATCGTCATCACCATCAACCTCGTCGTCATTAACATCATCACCATCACCATCATCATCATAAAAATCATCATCCTCGTCATCTGTGTCATCATCAACATCCTCATCATCCTCGCCATCATCATCATCCTCCTCTTCGGCACCATCAGCATCATGATTACCAGCAGCAGCATCATCATCATCGGTATCATCATCACCTGCAGCAGCATCATCATCATCGTCATCATCATGATCGACATCCGACGCCTATCGGGAGACGTAAGACTCGCGTTGGGGGGGACTCGAATTTGCCTCACGGGGCTGGCAGGTCCGAAATATAACGCGATATCCTGAAGCAAGCAATTCATGAAAATTCTACCAGCCCTCTGGGCGTAGGTGATCAAACGAGGGTGTTATTTCCTCTTTCGAAACCTATGTTCCCTTCAGGGAGTGGTATCCTCCCCCCTCCCCCCCCTCCCAACGGGTTGTGTGTGTGCGCGTGGGGGGGGGGTCGGGCGTCCAAGATGGTCCAAGATGGCCCAAAGGGGCGTGTGATGCTCCAGGACGGCCTCTAATGCGGCTCGAGATGGCCGAAGATGGTCCAAGATGGCGTCCGACATACCTCCAAAGGCTGGAGGAGGGCCACAAGACGGTCTCAAGTGCTCCCAGAGCCCCCATCGGGACCCCTCGAAGAGGCCAGAATCTCAGAATCGATCAAAAACCGAAGAATTCTGCTAACGGAGTTCCCCACGTAAGGATGTTGAGGGCTGCGTGGGGGCAATGAGGCCATCGCAGAGGTAAGTGCGAAAGAAACGGCAGACGAAGGCAAGGAGAGGGAGCAGCAGGGAAGAAGACGACGGCTGTTCAGGAAACACATTCGTCCCAGGAAGAGTGTGAGGGGCACGAAACCTCAATAATAACATGGTTTGCAAATACCCTCCTCGCTCAGGCGGGGCCTCCCTGGAGGAGTGGGAGGGGCACCAAACCTGATGGATAACATGGTTTGCGAATACCCTCCTCGCTCAGGCGGGGCCTCCCTGGAGGAGTGGGAGGGGCACCAAACCTGATGGATTACATGGTTTGCGAATACTCTCCTCGCTCAGGCGGGGCCTCCCTGGAGAAGTGGGAGGGGCACGAAACCTGATGAATAGCATGGTGTGCGAATCCCCTCCTCTCTTAGGCGGAGCCCCCCTGAAGGAGTGGGAGGGGCACGAAACCTGATGAAAATTAATTATCCTGGCGATGGACCCAACGATATGCAGTTGCGAATGCCGCAAAGCAGGTTGAGCGAATGAGAGGGAACTCCCTAAGGGGCCACGAAACGTGTGAAAGGTGTGCCGAAATGGGTGCGGTGCCGCCATGCGAACGCAGCCACTGGGGCCTTCGGTGGAGCTCCTTCTGGGGTCACGAAACGTGTGAGGGGTGTGCCGAAATGGGCGCGGTGCCGCCATGCGGACGCAGCCACTGGGGCCCTCGGTGGAGCTACCTATGGGGCCACGAAACGTGTGAGGGGTGTGCCGAAATGGGCGCGGCGCCGCCATGCGAACGCAGCCGCTGGAGCCCTCGGTGGAGCTCCTTATGGGGCCACGAAACGTGTGAGGGGTGTGCCGAAATGGGCGCGGTGCCGCCATGCGAACGCAGCCATTGGAGCCCTCGGCGGAGCTCCCTATGAGGCCACGAAACGTTGTTTTTTCTGCACAAAACCCGAATGTCGCCAGACGCTCTCCCCTGCGTGAAACCCGGATGCCGCCACACACCCGTTCCTGCGTGAAACCACGATGCCGCCGCATACTCGCGGCGCCCGAAGCGGGAACCTTGCCCTAGCTTCAATAGGCTCTCGCCGTAACAGTTTGGACGGCCAAGCGGGGGGGAGGAGGAGAAGGAGGAAGGAGGGGGGCCGAAACTGGCAATGGCCCCGGGCTCGGAGATACTCACCAGACGTGCGGTGACCGGTGCAGCGAGAGAGGCACGCGCGGTGGACAGCAGCGGCAACAGCAGGAAGAGGAAGGCAGACGGCAGGGAGGAGAGGGGAGGACGAGCGAGGAAGGAAAAAGCAGCAGAGCAGGCAAAGCGGAAAACAGCAGGGAGAGGAGCAGGAGAGCGAGCGAGAGAGGAGGCAGCGGAGCACAGACGAGGGAAAGGCGGAGGGAGGAAGAGGGACCCACGGCAAGCAACGCACAGCAGCAGGGGACAGGAGACAAGGAAACTGCCGGTTGAAATGAAACGTCAGAGCGCGGCTCACCTGCTCCGCAGGGGACCTCGGCTGAGTCCAGGGGCGGCAAGGGCCACCGGAGCTAGTTGGTCTCGTGCACGCATGCAAAAGAGAGGAGGAAGACGAGGAAGAGGGAAAACACTGTCCGCGCGGGAGCAGGACCGGCTGTTGCGGCCTGGCGAAGGAGGAGGGAAGGGAGGGGAAGAGGCCCACTCCGGCCTACTCAGTCGACCGCCCGCGGGCCTCCCGCAAGAAGCCGTCGAAAGCCCCGCTGATGTCCTGCAGCGTGAGCCTGCCGTGTCGGCGCCCGTTGTGGACCCGGCACAAGGCGCACACGGAGTTGGCCCAGTCGACCACGGCGCGCTCGCCCTGTCGGCCCCAGTCCAACCCCATCAAGGCATCGAGCTCGAAGCCTGGGCGAGGCTGGGGGATGTCCGTAAAGCGACTCTGCAACGCGCGGACAACAGAGCAGTAAGCGAAATGTCGAATGCTGTCCGCCCCGCCATTGCACATCCGGCAGGGTCCAGCCCTGCCACACCGAGAGTGCGTGCACCATCCGTTACATAGAAGGCGAAAGACTGCGGCCCAAACCCGCGGCTGGCAACGGCGCCCGACGATCCGCAGGTTGCGTAGCGTCGGCGTCAGCCGGTGGCCGGAGAGACAAGCCAGCGGCCAGTGCCGAAGCTTCTTCCGAAGGTGAATTTGGGCGTCGGCGCGCGCTGGGCCATGCAGCTGTTCCATTGCATGTTTCTGCCATCCCTCCTTGCGGTGCCACTGGAGGGCCGCCGGGTTGGCGCGGCGATGCACATTGACGCGCTCCGCAGCCCTGTCCAAGGTATGGACGAAGCACCTGTCCCGCCACTCGCGTAGCCAGCGCAGTCGTTGCAACGATACCTCTGTACTCCCGCAAGAAAGCTGCTGCACCCGCCGGGCCCTCTGACGAATGCGCAAACGGCCATCCGCTTCCCATTCCACCACGCGGGCTTTGGAGGCGACGAGAATAGAAGGCAAATACGTGAGCTGATCGCCGAAGCCGAGGGACTTCAGTTCACGGGCGCACTCCGCAGCGATCCAATCCTTGGGGCCACGTATCATCTTCTTGAGAGCCTGGGATTCCTCTTGTTGGAGCTGTGGCGGAGGGTCCTCCAATTGCCCCACGAATAAAAGCACTGAGGATATGTAGACCCGGTAGGCCTGGAGAGTCAGGAGCAAGCCGACGCCGAGACGCCCCCAAAGAGCCGCCCGCTCGATGTACTTTCGTAACGTCGCCGTCCAAGAGGCGAAGCCCCGGCCAGGACCCACGTACACGCCGAGGTATTTGGCAGTATCTTGGATCAGCACCCCCGCCCAACCAGGCGCCTCGGACCCGACCCGCGCCCGCAGCGTCTGCCTGAGCTCTGGTGACAGCGGATCCGTAGGCACCAGTACACTCTTCGAGAAGTTCAACCCGAGCCCCGAAACCGCTTCGAACTCGGAGAAGAATTGCTGGAGCATCCGCAATTTGCCTCGCGACTCGGCGACCACGAGGCCAAGGTCGTCAGCGAACGACCGGATCGCGCTGCCCGGGAGTGTCCGTTGAAGCCGGCGAAGGTACAAGTCCGAGCACGCAGCAAACAGCAAGGGAGAGAGAGGGCATCCTTGCCGGATACCCCTGGTCAGCTGGAAGCCGTCGTATCTGGCGCCGCCCACTTGCATCTCACACTGATTGTTTCGGTAGAGCGTAAGCACGAAATCCCACCAGCCCTCTGGGCGTAGGTGGTCTAGAACAGATCCTCTTCCACCCCTCCCTCTTCCCCCTTGGGGAGGGGTTTACCCCTCCCCCTACCCCCTCCCCTGGACCTGGACGGGGGGGGGCCGCGGGTAGTTAGAGCGTCCAAGATGGCCCAAGACGGCTCCAAGAGCGCCTCAGAGAACCCAAGATGAGCTCCAAGATGGCTCAAGATAGCGCAAGATCGCTCACGATGGCTCCTAAGATGGTTCCAAGAAGCCCAAAGACGGCCCCAAGATAACTCCAAGTGGCCAAACAGCTCCCCAAGGAGGCCCCGAAGAGGCCAAAATCGTCCCAAAACCTAAGGAAAATCAATGATTTTTGCTTTCTCGCCTTTTCGCTTCCGATGGCTATCCGAGGCCTGGAGATGGCTCCAAGATGGCCCAAGAGGGCCCCAAGAGAGCCCCAAAAGAGCCCCAAGACGGCCCCAAGAGCGCCCAAGAGCACTCCAAGAGCGTTCCAAGAGGGGTCCAAGAGGCGATTTTAGGGGCTTCCGGGGGGGCGCTAATTAAACCCCCCCTCTTGTTTGATCGACTCCCTCCAAGATGGCCCCAAAAGCGCCCCGAAGGCTCCCCGGAGCGCCTCAAGAGGGTCCCAAGAGGCGCCCAAGATGCCCCAAGGCGCCCAAAAAGCCCTCCAAGAGGCCCTCAAAAGACCCCCAGAAGCTCCTTCCCCTCCTCCTCCTCCTCCTCCGATTCTTCCTCCTTCTCCGTTCTCCTCCTCCTCCTCCTCCTCCTCCTCTTCCCCCTCCTCCTCCTCCTCCTCCTCCTCCGACGACGACGACGACGACGACCGACGACGACTCCTCTTCCATCCTCCCCCTCTCGGGGTCTGTGACAGCTTCCCCCGCCCTTTGTTATTCTGCATGCTCCCCGACTTCCCTGATCACCTTAACTCCCCTGAGCATCGTTTCTGGATGGGCTGGTGGGGATACGCGAAGCGTCAACAATTCATCAGCCATCCTGGCCAACCCAAAGACCGGAAAAAGCGGAGGAAGAACTTCTGCTCGATGGAGGGGAAGGCCGCTGCAAAGTCGAAGAAGAAGGCCATGCCGCCCTCCCCCTCCGCCGCGGCGTAGCGCATGGCCTCGTCCATGTCAATGATGTTCCCCAGCATTGAGCGGCCCCGGATGAACCCTCTCTGGCTATCTGTGATGAGGGGGCCCAGGACAGGTTCCAACAAGAATCTGGTAGCACTTGCCAGCAATCTGTTGTCTGCGTTAATGACGTTGAGCGGCCGCACCCCCGACGGCTCGTAGAGGTCAGTGCCGTCTTCTGTCTGGCCCACAGGTTTCTTTGGCAAGAAGTGCAAGATGCTGGCGTTGAACTCCGGGTACTCTTCGTCCATCTGCGCCCGGCCGTGTCCGACAATAAATCTTGAAACGCGCCGAACAGCACGTCCACGGATAATTTGCCCATGGCCCTCCAAGCTTCGTAGGGGATACCATCCGGGCCCGGGGAAGAATTGTTCGAGCACCTGACGGCGCGCTCGATGTGTTTCCTCGTCATCCGCAAGTGCTGCAACGAAGTGTGTCGAGGGCCGTGAACCTCGCGATGCGCAAGATCATCCTCCAGCCACTGCCCCAGGAGCTCCTCGTGCACCCCGCGAGCCAGGAAAACAGCAGCCCAGTGGTCGCGGAGAGCACCTGCCATGGACGACGGGTCCGTCAAGTACTCCCCACTCGTGTGTTTGATGGCTTTGATGCTGGACGAGCCCCCTGGAAGAAGCCGAAAGAGCAGCCGCGTGGCCTTCTTCTTGACTCGCGGCGCCCCGTGTTCCTGGTGGCCCTCCTTGTTAAGCTGCTGTGTGAGGGTGTCCCTATGAGGCCACGAAACGTGTGAGGGTGTCCCGAAATGGGCGCGGTGCCGCCGTGCGAACGCAGCCACGGGGGCCCTCGGTGGAGCTCCCTATGGGGCCACGAAACGTGTGAGGGGTGTGCCGAAATGGGCGCGGCGCCGCCATGCGAACGCAGCCACTGGGGCCCTCGGTGGAGCTCCCTATGGGGCCACGGCTCCCTATGCGGGCCACTAAACGTTGTGAGGAGGTGGCCGAAAATGGGCATCGGTGCCGCCATGCGAAACGCAGCCAATGGGGCCCTCGATGAGGCTCCCTATGTGGCCAGACAGCGAAACCTGTGAGGGGTGGTGCGAAATGGGCGCGGTGCCGCCATGCGAACGCAGCCACTGGGGCCCTCGGTGGAGCTCCGTATGGGGCCACGAAACGTGTGAGGGGTGTGCCGAAATGGGCGCGGCGCCGCCATGCGAACGCAGCCATTGAGGCCCTCGGTGGAGCTCCCTATGGGGCCACGAAACGTGTGAGGGGTGTGCCGAAATGACTGCGGTGCCACCATGCGAAAGCAGCCACTGGGGCCTTCGGTGGAGCTCCCTATGGGGCCACGAAACGTGTGAGGGGTGTGCCGGAATGGGCGCGGTGCCGCCATGCGAACGCAGCCACTGGGGCTTTCGGTGGAGCTCCCTATGGGGCCACGAAGCGTGTGAGGGGTGTGCCGAAATGGGTGCGGTGCCGCCATGCGAACGCAGCCGCTGGGGCCGAACGCAGCCGCTGGGGCCCTCGGTGGAGCTCCCTATGGGGCCACGAAACGTGTGAGGGGTGTGCCGAAATGGGCGCGGTGCCGCCATGCGAACGCAGCCGCTGGAGCCCTCGGTGGAGCTCCCTATGGGGCCACGAGACGTGTGAGGGGTGTGCCGCAATGGGTGCGGTGCCGCCATGCGAACGCAGCCACTGGGGCCCTCGGTGGAGCTCCTTATGGGGCCACGAAACGTGTGAGGGGTGTGCCGAAGTGGGTGCGGTGCCGCCATGCGAACGCAGCCACTGGGGCCCTCGGTGGAGCTCCCCATGAGGCCACGAAACGTGTGAGGGGTGTGCCGAAATGGGTGCGGTGCCGCCATGCGAACGCAGCCATTGGAGCCTTCGGTGAACCTTATGGGGCCACGAAGCGTGTGAGGGGTGCCGAAATGACTGCGGTGCCGCCATGCGAACGCAGCCACTGGGGCCCTCGGTGGAGCTCCTTATGGGGTCCACAGACTTGTGAGGGGTGTGCCGAAGTTGGGTGCGGTGCCAGCCATGCGAACGCAGCCATGGGGCCTTCGGTGGAGCTCCCTATGGGGCACGAAACGTGTGAGGGGTGTGCCGAGATGGGTGTGCGGGACGCATGCGGACGGCAGCGCTGGGGCCTTCGGTGGAGCTCCCTATGGGGCCACGAAACGTGTGAGGGGTGTGCCGAAATGGGTGTGCGGGACGCATGCGGACGGCAGCCATGGGGCCTTCGGTGGAGCTCCCTATGGGTCCACGAAACGTGTGAGGGGTGTGCCGAAATGGGTGTGCGGGACGCATGCGGGCACACCCACTGGGACCTTCGGTGGAGCTCCCTATGGGGCCACGAAACGTGTGAGGGATGTGCCGAAATGGGTTCGGTGCCGCCATGCGAAACGCAAGCCACGGGGGCCTTCGGTGGAAGCTCCTTATGGGTCCACGAAACGTGTGAGGGGTGTGCCGAAATGGTTTCGGTGCCGCCAATGCAACGCAGCCACTGGCCCTCGGTGGAGCTCCCTACGGGGCCACGAAACGTGTGAGGGTGTGCCGAAATGGGCGCGGTGCCGCCATG